ACTTCAGAAGAATCCCAGTTTAAAACCATCTGGCCCCATAAATTTTCAATCGGGTTTAGATCTGGGCTTTTAGCGGGCCAATCAATAACAGTGAAGTTATCTTGGGCATTTAACCAATTTGTCACTATACCTGCTCGATGCACGGAGCAGTTATCATGCACAAAATAAATATGCTCATGGGGGTAACGAGCACGCACACTCGGCAACATTGTATTTTGTAAAATACCAAGATAACGTTCACCGGTATTGCGACCGCCTACTTCCACTAATTCACCAGGCCCCATCGAAGACATCCAACCCCAGTAACCCAGGGTGATGCGACCACTAGACCTGTTCGGTAGCAAGTTGACCTCATCGTAGCGGGTGTTGTCTGGTCTCCATAAAATTTTACGCCCGTCCTTATCAGATGTAAACACTTTTTCATCTGTGAATATGACGACATTATTTACCCAATCAAAGTCTAAATATTCCCGTGCAAACTGCAGTCTCTTTTGTTTGTGGGCGTCACTAAGTTGGATTTTCTTTGCCGGTCTCCGACATTTTAATCCAGCCGCCTTTAAGTGAGTTCGCACAGTTTGTAGACTTACGCCGTGCTGAACTGCAGATGTGCGAGTCGACGCAAAGGGGTTTGCAGAATGAGTAGCCACAATCTCCCTATGACGTTGCGAAGCATTCGTAAATGTGGTGGCCACAGGTCCAGGCCGACGACGGTCTGCATGACCCTCTTCTGCGTAGCGATGTGCCCATAAACGAGCAGTTTTTCTCTGTTAACAAAAAATAAATCTTTAATAACGACCATAATGTGATAAAAAAATGCCTACCTACCAGATTATTTTATTATCATCTCTAAGTATTATCTCATGAATTCGATATATTATAACCATAACACTTCATCTATACTTTTAAAAATGGCAACTTTTACTTCTATGTAAAATAGCATTAACAGCTAAAAACAATAAATGTTACTTACCGATATCATTAATCGTCGCGCAATTTCACTAATAGACACATTTTCTCGAAACAAAATAGCTATTTCGGATCGCTGCAAATTCGATAGATGATTCTCCATCGTGTCGAGTTCACAAAAACTTTTCACTTGTGTATAAAACAAAGAAAGATTAAGAAAGTTGTAAAGCGCGTATACTACTGGGATGCAATAGATAGACTGAAGTTTCTAAACAGGTAGGTAGCTAAACACTCATTCTTTTGTTGAAATTTAGTTAAGAGGGTATATTAGAATCCAAATGCACGAAATATTGTCCATCGTTCTGCATCTCACACTGGTTCATATTTTAAACGGTATTCCTTAAAAAATATACAAAAAATAAAAAACACTGAAGTCCATCGTGGGATTTGAACTCTTATCACATCACACGACGTGTCGATCTAAACCACTACGCTACCTGAACCGTTGCTAACGTAACGAAATTAAGAGTCACAAGCAACATCATTATGATTCATCATTTAACATATGATTGTGTGAGTGCGGCATATCATGCGCTACCCAATAAGAGAGAAGCGACTGCTTGTTTTTACGTATCGAGCAAATCTATGCTTGTGTTTGTTGGTACCCTATCTGCTTTGCCGAGTGTACATTGGCAAGCTTCCAAGATTTTGGTACAATTTTTGACACGAGAGAGAGGCGGTACAAGCGTGTCAGTACAGGAGACAACTCAGGCGCACAATACCTCAACAATCTTGCTGGTATGCCATCAGGACCACTGGCCTTGTTCACGTCCAGACTGCGAAGGGCTCTACGGACCTCTTTATTGTGCACTGTGATCTCAGACATCAAAGAATCACAGTGAGGTAAGGTGGGTGGATATTTCGAGAGTTGCTCGCAAACAGATCGGCAAATAAATTTGCTTTCTCTGCCGCGGTGTGGGCAAGCGACCCATCAGGTTTCTGCATTGGAGGTAGTGAGGGACGGCAGAAGAAAGAAGAAGAAAGCAGTTTTTGACCTTGGCTGAACACCTGTCGACTAGTCAACCGCATGATGGCGATGATACCTTAGCTTACAATAGCATACCCAAAGAGGATTTTCAAAACGATCTATTTTGCAAAATAGTGTGTGATGCTGGTTTAGAATAGCATCTCCTCATATCCGTCCTGTGGATGTCGTAAGAAGCGACTAATGAAATTGACAGTCGATGTGTATTGCAATTTTAGTTTATTTCCAACCTACACTACACAGTCTTCTGAATGACTGTCAAACTTTTGTCAGACGTAGTGTAGATGCTCTGTCTACTCCGCAAGGGATATATGTGTGATATTATATGTATAAATATATTTAAAACTATCTATCTTGCAGGATCTCAACCGCCTGCTGAAGTTCAAAGAGAATCAGCAACAAGACGCAAACGCTTTTCCCGAGACTGAGAAAAAACTCGCAATGGGCAGTTTAGCCGCCGCCATCAAGTATGCTGGCTTGATGGCTGAAAACACCAACTTTGGCAGGTTTGTAAACATTATTTCTTATTTTTTTATAAGATGTTTGTAAATGTTTGCTTCGATCCTAGTACAGGTACTCTAAAAAACGAGCTCGCTTCGCTCGCAATAAAGTGGGTGTAATATTTTTATCACATATGGTTTGGTTAGCTAGCAATATCCATCACTTTAGGAATGACAAGTTCACTTCGCTCACAAAATATTTACGTGTTAGTAAAGCGCAGTTTAACACACCTCTTATAGTAGTTTATGCAACTGCCTAATAATGAGAGACTTTAGGATGTGAGTGCCTGTTTGACACGAGCATTCTAAAGCCTAATTATATGCAGTTGCATACACTATTTTATCTACACTCTACAAGAAAAACTATGAAAAATAATTCAAACCTCCGCACTGCACTATGGCGATTGCAAGCCTATCTACTGAACCACCAACTGAACGACTTTTGTACATAAGTAACTTTTTAACTAAACGTTAAAATGGAGGCTCATAAAAACTGAACAACTTTTAAAATTAAAAAGCATTTATCGGTGAATTTTAATTCGAAAAATGATTTGAAGCAAAGATTTAATAATAAATAAGTCCTCATAATTTCAAGTGTCGTCCCGCCCGGATGACACTTGTTTTTTTTTCATTTGACTTACTGTTGTCCAGTGTCAAATTGGAACAGATTACAATTTGGTACGCGGGTCAATTCGTTTCATTTTTTTTCAAATACTAGAAATCGAGTTACTTTATGTAGCTGCCAGTAGAATGAAAATTTTTTTTAAGGCTGTATATTCGAAATGCAGTTTATTACGTTTGTACTTTCGATTCTGTAAAACGAATATTACGAAATGAGTGTAGATAAAGTATTTTATTCTTGATTTTATTGTACTAGTGCTGACCGATGAATACCTTAATACGCTATTGCTTAAAAAAAAACAAAATATCATAAATTAGTGTCACTAGTAAACTTTCCCCCTATATACTCTAAAATGTCTTACGATTGTCCCCAGATTTCGCATATCAACGATCCAAGCCGAGCATTTCCTGCACCTCGACACAGCTGCATTATCTGCACTCAATGTATTGCCGGAACTGAGCGACACTTCGCACGCGCCGTCGAGAAGTTTACTGGGCCTGCTCGATAGGTGTCGCACGCAGCAAGGGAAGCGGTATGTAGTTAGCAAAATAACAAAATCTCTTATCCTACTTCCTACTAATATTATAAAGGCGGATGTTTGTGTGTGTGTTTGTTACGACATCACGCTAAACCGGCTGGTTAGATAGACATGAAATTTTGCACAAATATAGAAGAGTAAATTCAAATTCAAATTCAATTCAAATTCAATAATTTATTTTTCAGTAGGAATTTACAAGATTCTCTTTAAGAAAGTCACATTCTAATTCAAACTTAAAAAAAAGAATCTAGAATAACAAACACATAGGCTACTTTTTACCACGGGAAAATGTCTTATTCCTATGGGATCACGCATATTCCAATATTTTTGCAAAGGTAGCGTGACTGAGCCGATTCGCGTTTTAAATATTTTCGCCGATAACTAACAGCGACATCTCTTGGCGAGTAATGCTTTTTTCCCGCGGAATAATAGGTTGCAGCGAGTGAAACCGCTGACGGGCAGCTAGTGTTTACATAATGTCAACACAAAATTAGGGAAATAGCGCGGGGCGCCTATACAGATGGCTCACTCAGTACTGCTGCATTATCTGCACTCAATGTATTGCCAGAACTGAGCGACACTTCGCACGCGCCGTCGAGAAGCTTACTGGGCCTGCTCGATAGGTGTCGCACGCAGCAAGGGAAGCGGTATGTAGTTAGCAAAAATACAAAATCTCTTATATTTACATAATGTCAGCACAAATTAGGGAAATAGCGCGGGGCGCCTATACAGATGGCTCACTCGGTACAGCTGCATTATCTGCACTCAATGTATTGCCCATGGTATAATAAGATACTCCGCCTGGTATTTCATTCCGAGACTCGTGAACCACGTGACTAACACAAGACTACGTCATCATGCTTGTGGGTAACGTATTTTATTGAAATAAAGTGGCAATACTAGTGACGTAGGCTTGTGTTTCTCTGGGAATGTAAGACCATGTTTTATTAGACTATAACTCAGTACTGCTGCATTATCTGCACTCAATGTATTGCCGGAACTGAGCGACACTTCGCACGCGCCGTCGAGAAGCTTACTGGGCCTGCTCGATAGGTGTCGCACGCAGCAAGGGAAGCGGTATGTAGTTAGCAAAACTAACAAAATCTCTGATATTTACAAAATGTCAGCACAAATTAGCGCCTATATACAGATGGCTCACTCAATACCGCTGCATTATCTGCACTCAATGTGTTGCCGGAACTGAGCGACACTTCGCACGCGCCGTCGAGAAGTTTACTGGGCCTGCTCGATAGGTGTCGCACGCAGCAAGGGAAGCGGTATGTAGTTAGCAAAAATTATAAAATCTCTGATAATCTTTTGGGATTTTAATGCACTCACAGTGCTATATGATTCTAACAAGTGAAAATAAGAAATAGTAAATAAAAATCATGCATCAACCGGGGATCGAACTCGAGTCGCTTGCATGGGTAAACGCCCCACCGCTCTGCCACTGAGCTATAGATGCACCGGTCGATGAATGACAAATTTTCTATCTCTTGATGCTCGTCTCCAAGCGACGACCCAACGTCATCTGTAGAAAGTATTTACGACTTTACTACCTGGTTAGTCCACATTATCTGTGATAATATTTTCTTGTGTCTAATTCACATAATGTCGGTCCATGTTCAGTCACAATTTTAAGATCTCGATACCTGCATTTTGCCGTTTTGACAGTTTGCTACTGGACGTTATGCTACTGTGACGTTTTTCCACTTTCTTATTCTGCCTATTTAACATTTTTGGAATGGATCATTTTTACGTAGTGTTTCATTTTGCCTAGTGTTTTGTCATACACTCATAACTATTTTCATCTTCACATTATTTCAGTCTGCTTGCCCAATGGCTGCGTCAACCTCTACGCGACATAAACCTCATAAACGAACGACTCGATGTCGTCGAACTACTCGTGAACAATTCTCAACTACGTCTGCAACTACACGACGAACATTTGCGGAGAATACCGGATTTACAAGCGTGCGCTAGAAGGCTGACTAGGAAGAAAGCTAGTTTACTCGACTGCTATAAGATTTACCAGGTATTTTTTTGTTAATATAAAGACGTAGTAACTACTAACTACTGGTGAACAATTCCCAACTACGTCTGCAGCTGCATGACGAGCATTTGCGGAGAATACCGGATTTACAAGCGTGTGCTCGAAGACTGACCAGGAAGAAAGCCAGTTTGCTCGACTGCTATAAGATTTACCAGGTAAATTTCTTTACGTTTATTTGGCCTTTTCAGTCGTGTGAGGGACGAACGATCCAAGTATCAGATTAACCAATTCAGCCACGTAAGTTTTTTTTTTACAATATGTCTGCAACTGCATGACGAACATTTGAGGAGAATACCGGACTTGCAAGCGTGTGCTAGAAGGCTGACCAGGAAGAAAGCCAGTTTACTCGACTGCTATAAGATTTACCAGGTAATTTTCTTTGTTTCATATTTTTAGCATTATTTGGCCTTTTCTTTTGTGTGGGACGAACGATCCATATACCAGATTTACCATGTAAGTTTTTTCATTCTATTTTGGCTAATACGGGGTATAAGGAACAGTAGAATAATGATAGGGTGCATTTAGACCATGAGTTTGAGCAACTTCTCATAGGAATATATGTCAGGAGACGAAATAGTAGTTTTTATAACAAGGGAATAAAGTGATATATTTAGGGCGAGGGCGTTAGTTTGAATCATGAGCGGAACGAGGGATTCTAGAGTAAAATCCCGAGCGTAGCGAGGGATTTTAAAGTAGAATCGTGAGTGAAGCGAGGGATTCAATGTAAGTCGCCCGAGAATAAATAACTTTATACCCGAGTGATACATACTACTTTTCATCCCCCTCTATGAGAAAAACAATAAATACTTATTATTTAATCTACGAAGTTCTTTAAATATTGCTTGCTATTGTCCATTATTTTACAATACATCTTATAAATTGCGTTATAAACATCCAATATTTACAAAACATTATCACTCATTTCATTTCATATTATTGCAATACTAGCTGCCCGTCAGCGGTTTCACCCGCTGCAACCTATTATTCCGCGGGAAAAAAGCATTATTCGCCGAGAGATGTCGCTGTTAGTTTTCGGCGAAAACGTTTAAAACGCGAATCGGCTCAGTCACGCCACCTATTTCAAAAATATTGGAAAATGCGTGATCCCGTGGGAATGAGACATTTTTCCGTGGTAAAAAGTATCCTATGTGTTATTCCAGATGTCCTTTTATATTTCTGCAAAGTTTCATGTCAATCTAATCAGCCGTTTTTGCGTGATGTCGTAACAAACACACACACAAACATCCGCCTTTATAATATTAGTAGGATAATTGTAAGGTTGAATATTGTTGTTGCCCATTGCTGGAGATTCATCGCGCCAAAAGAAAAATAAAATTTGACACATTACTTTTTAATTTCAAATTTTGCTAGGAATTAGGTCTTTTAAGAGCAAAATACTAGGTGTAAAACACTCAATAAAATAGCAGATAACAGGTAGTGTTGCAGAGAAAAAACCCATCTGTAGTAAATTTTCGATTGATTGGCTGCAAATATTTGTGTTCCAAATTCAAATGAATTTTAATCCCTTGGGATTAAATAACCTATTTTAATCCCACTTATGTGCGACCAAAGCGTAGTTTTTTGTATAGAGGGGATGAAAATTTCTTTTTCATCCCCTCTATTCAAAAAACTACGCTTGGGTCGCACATAAGTGGGATTAAAATAGGTTATTTAATCCCAAGGGATTAACATTCATTTGAATTTGGAACACAAATATTTGCAGCCAATCAATAGAAAATTTACTACAGATGGGTTTTTTCTCTGCGACACTACCTGTTATCTGCTATTTTATTGAGTGTTTTACTCCTAGTATTTTGCTTTTAAAAGACCTAATTCCTAGCAAAATTTGAAATTAAAAAGTAATGTGTCAAATTTTATTTTTCTTTGGCGCGGCCACTGGCAGCAATGGGTAACAACCTTACAATTATATTGCAATAATATGAAATGAAATGAGTGATAATGTTTTTGTAAATATTGGATGTTTATAAAGCAATTTATAAGATGTATTGTAAAATAATGGACAATAGCAAGCAATATTTAAAGAAAGTAAGTAAGTATTTATTGTTTTTCTCATAGAGGGGGATGAAAAGTAGTATGTATCACTCGGGTATATAGTTATTTATTCTCGGGCGACTTACAATGAATCCCTCGCTTCACTCACGATTCTACTTTAAAATCCCTCGCTACGCTCGGGATTTTACTCTAGAATCCCTCGTTCCGCTCATGATTCAAACTAACGCCCTCGCCCTAAATATATCACTTTATTCCCTTGTTATAAAAACTACTATTTGGACTTCCCATACAAATTAGGATCAGCTGACTGCATTTACTATGAGAAGCCAAAAAAAAATTTTCGTGTCCTGAAACATTATCTTATAGGAATTTGTTCAGTTTCATGGTCTTAATGCACCAGCTATCAGTATTCGGAGAGATGTCCCTTAAACCATGTATAAGACTAGAGTCTTAGTCGACGTAGTAGAACTACTCGTGAACAACTCTCAACTACGTCTACAACTGTAGCCCAAGAAAGATAGCAAAATCAGCGAAAAAACATCCCCGGTAACGAAATGTTGTGGATTTGTGTAGTGGAAGGTCCTCTTCACAACGTCCAATAAAATCCTCTCAAAAATATGCGGTGCTGGGAGTAGGGGGGTTAATTATGTGTCCCTTTTTCAGTTTCTCGACTGTAACTCGTAAACGGCGCGTCGTAGCTTCAAAATGTCTGAGAAACTATTAAAGCTCATTAAATTTCCTATAACTTTGTCATTAACATGAAAACCGTAACATGAATGGTTTTTAAGTTATGGCCATTTCAAAGTCAGTAGTTTTTTCACTTTTTTTTATTACGACACTAAAAAGTGTTTGGACGTTTCTGTAGATCTTCGTTATCTTTAATGCAAACTATTTCATAATTCGTGGATAAACTAAAAAAATAAAATTATTAAATACGTGTTCCCGCATTTTGTGTATTTTAACCCTTAACCGGGTAAAAAAGAGGTTAATAGTTTGTATGAAAAATCGTCATTTTTGATGTGATCTGTTTCAAAATTTGGAAATAAGCAAATAACCTAAAATAATTTAATACAGCATTTTGTAAATTTTAACCCTTAACAGGGTAAAAAATTGTTTAAGAGTTTGTATGAAAATCGTCATTTTTGATGTGATCTGTTTCAAAATTTGGAATTATGCGAATAAGCCAAATTAATTAAACTCGTGTTTTAGCATTTTGTAAACTGAGTAAAAAGGGGGTTAAAACTTAGATGAAACTTCGTCACATTTGATGCAATCTGTTTCAAAGTGCGTGAGCAGACTAGTAATAGGTTAAAATAATTAGACACGATTTACAAAATTTTGTACGCTTTAACCCTTAAAGGATGAATTGGCAACCCTTGAATTTGACACATCATTTTGGTGTTAAATAACTACTGTGGGTCATCAACTATATGACCCACAGTTATTAAACACCAAAATGATGTGTCGAATTCAAGGGTTGCCAATTCATTCTTTAAGGGTTAAAGCAAGCAAAGCTTATTCGCATAATTCCAAATTTTGAAACAGATTACATCAAAAGTGACGATTTTCATACAATCTCTTAACCTATTTTTTACCCTGTTAAGGGTTAAAATTTACAAAATGCTGAAACACGTGTTAAATTATTTTGGGTCATTCGCTTATTTCCAAATTTTGAAACAGGTAACATCAAAAATGTCGATTTTTCATACAAACTATTAACCTTTTTTACCCTGTTAAGGGTTAAAATTTACAAAATGCGGGAACACGTATTTAATCATTTGTTTTTTTTAGTTTATCTACAAATTATGAAATAGTTTGCATTAAAGATAACGAAGATCTACAGAAACGTCCAAACACTTTTTAGTGTCGTAATAAAAAAAGTGAAAGTGTACAAAATTTTGTAAAACGTGTCTAATTATTTTAACCTATTACTAGTCTGCTCACGCACTTTGAAACAGATTGCATCAAATGTGACGAAGTTTCATCTAAGTTTTAACCCCCTTTTTACTCAGTTTACAAAATGCTAAAACACGTGTTTAATTAATTTGGCTTATTCGCATAATTCCAAATTTTGAAACAGATCACATCAAAAATGACGATTTTCATACAAACTCTTAAACTATTTTTTACCCTGTTAAGGGTTAAAATTTACAAAATGCTGTATTAAATTATTTTAGGTTATTTGCTTATTTCCAAATTTTGAAACAGATCACATCAAAAATGACGATTTTTCATACAAACTATTAACCTCTTTTTACCCGGTTAAGGGTTAAAATTTACAAAATGCGGGAACACGTATTTAATCATTAGTTTTTTTTAGTTTATCCACAAATTATGAAATAGTTTGCATTAAAGATAACGAAGATCTACAGAAACGTCCAAACACTTTTTAGTGTCGT